GTGGTTTTATGTAGAGGTGTATCGTTTTTTCCCTCTGAATGATGCTTTTATATTTTAACCACTGTCATGAAAATGAATCCTTCTGATTTACACACACATACAGATTTCCTTAGTTAAACATTTTTCAGATTCAAAAGGGGTAAGGGGTAGATACTAGAGAGAGTCAAAGTGAGTATCATGGTTCAGCTCTTTATTCATCTTTTCATTCTGCTGTCTGTCTGTCTGTCTGTCCCTCCCCACCCCTGCTTCGTTGAAAAGCTGTTCTCACAAAGACCTTTTTAAAAGTTATCATGATACATATAATTTATCTTTGTAGTTTTCTTTCATCTCTTTTTCTTTAAACTTATGGCTGTATGCTACCTGCGGCTAGTGTTGGTCACTGTAGTTCTCAGGCTATGTAAAATTGATATTGATAACCCAGGCAGGGTGGTGCACATTTTTAATCCCAGAGCTGAGGCACGACGACTATCATGAGTTCCAGGCCACCCTGGGCTACATAGCGAGTTCGAGGTCAATCTGAACCTGTACAGCAAGTTTCCGACTAAAAGGAAAAATAGCAACCAAAAAAGATTTGATGTTGACTAAGACTAATGTACAGAAGTACTTATGAGTAAAAATTCTTTTTAAATTTCTGTGGTCTTCCTTTTCCACCCAAAACAGATTTTTAAAAATTTGTTGCTTTAGAGGATCACATTAATAGATGTTTTGAATGTTGAACTAATTTTTATCCCCGGGGCTAATTCCAATTGTTCTAGATATTTTAGTCTATGAGCTCCACACTGGGTCTAGTACCTAGTATCATTATTCTTAGAATTTGACATCTGTAATCATAAGGATTTTGGCTTGGTTGTTCCTGTTCTTCCCTTTGCTTCTGTAGGCTTTGACATTGTACCCTTAGTGATGAACAAGAAGCTTCTCACTTTTTGCTGTGTTTTGGAATAATTTGTATAATTCACTTGAAGGTTTGTAGAATTTTCCATTAAAATCATTTCAGTTTAGTTCCTTTTTACGTGTAGCTCCTCAATTCTTATTTCACATGGAATCAAATTTAGTAATTTAATTTTTTTAAAGATACAGTTTTATCAGTTCTAAAGAAGTGTTAATAGTCTAGTTTAGTTGATAGCCCAAATACATATATATATTTTAAATCTCAACATTTTTAGTTGTTTTTCTCATTCCTAATGTTGATTGCATTTTGGCCAAAGCTCCCACTCTAAAACAACAACAAACAAACAAACAAACAAACAAACATTCCCCAAAGACTTGTTTCACTAACTTTTTCAAACAAGTTTCTTGTTTAAATTCTGTTAGTTTCTTACTTTCTATTCAATTAATTTCTGCTGTTAACTGTATGCATTCCTTTTATTTTCTTTGGCAATACTTGCCTTTAGGTATAGTCTAGCTTCATTTTGTTTCTTTTTAGTCATTTCTATAGGAAAGTACAATTAGATGTCTAGAGTTCTTGTCGCATGAGTTCTCATTACTTTTTGAAATGTTCTTATTATCAATCACTTAGAAATATTGTCGTTTTAAATTTTTTAAATTTCTATGAAAAGACTCCTTTATTCACTCTCCCATTCTCATTACTTCCCTTCAACTTCTTTTCTTCCTTCTTCATTTTCTTTTTGCGGCCATTGAAGTTAACCTGCCATTGATTGGAAGAAACACTATTTTATGTATTACAGTGCTAAGAAAAGTAGACCCAGTTAAGCTATGATTAAGTGCTTACTTGTCAGTCAGAATTTTTATTTTATGCTTGCTAGAAGAAGCCTGTAAGTTTTAATTGTAGCATTAAAAATTGCCTGATATTTCAATAAATGATTTCCCGATAACAATTAGGGCTCATTTTTCCATGTTTTTGCTTGCAAGACATGTCCGTTGAGTTGTTTGTTGATGAGTTCTGATGATAGAATAAGCTAAAGAGCAGCCTCAAACACAGGCCGTGGCAGGTGTATTCCAGCTGCTGCCCAATAGCAAGTGAATGTTACTATTTCTTTATTACAGTTGAAAATTGTAGAACATAAAGTACTTTGATGTTCATCTTATTCAAATGTATGGAAAGAGTGTAATATGATTTCTGCTTTCTGGAATTTTTTTTGGGATTTTTTCTTTTTGCCTTTGTCTTTTTATATGTGGCATGAATTTCTTGGGTAAAAATAAAAGTGCTGTTTAATTGTATTCTTCATTGCTTTTATAGCCTTATTTTTTGCTAATCCCATTAGTTAATTTGAAAGATGCTATAAACTCTTTGAGATCTTGTAAATTTTTCATTTTCATGCTTAGCATTTATCAATTGCTTTACAATGATATGCCCTATTGTTAAGTTCCATATATGTTGAATATACATTTCTTGAACTCTTTTATTCCTTATTTTGCATTGATATATCCAATTCCTTTTTATTGATATGTATGGATATGCATAACAAATAAATAAATATGTAATATAAGATATATAAAATATTTCTTTATTTTCGTATCTGGGGTTTTGGGTATTGCTTTTAGTTTATATTTAAGAAGTAGTATGTATGATATTTTATTTTGTAAGCTGAGATTGTATGTTTTTAGTAAGAATTTTAACATATCAAATGTATATTGTTAGGTTTCTTTTCAGTTGCCATAGTGAAATATGTAGGCAGGGTACTAAGAGAAGAGGTTTATTAATAAGCTTATAATTTTGGAGACTAAAAGTATAGATAGCATAGTGCAGAATGCAGTGAACACCCCCACCAGAGTATCACAAAAGTCAGTCGCATGTGTGAGAGGCAGGGATTAAGTGGTGAGACAGGAAGCTTAGGCACACTCTTCTGAAACAACTTACTCGCTCAACAATGCCATTCTCAGTGTCACGCAGTAACTGCCCAATCCCTTCCAGTGGCCTCGCCCCTCAGTCCTTCTACCAGTTCAACACTGTGTCCTGGGGACCAACCAGCCTTTCAGCATGTGAAAATGGGGGACACACTTAAATCCCATCTAGACCATAGCGATGGCAAGTGGCAACATTGGATGTGCTTTCTATTTGCCATTTGGTTTGCTGTGTGGAAAGCACTGAGCAAATTAGCTATCATTCTTGTCTTCATAGATGTTATTAGGAATGGCAGTATGTTAAGTGATACTTTATACATTTTTTTTTGTAGGTAAATAGTATCATCTCATGTACTATTTTATTTGTTTTAAAAAATGTTCTCTGATAGTAGCATTCTCTTATTTGAAAGGATGGGGAAGTAAGTACACAAAGTTATAGAATGACAATTTGAGACCCAAAATTTACTTCTCAATTTGTGAAATGTATGAATTAAAAATTTTATAAATAGCTCTATTGAAAGCACTATAATTATATATTAGAATTTTGTTTTGTTTTTAATGAGCTGCCCTATATATAAAACTTTTTATCTCTCTTTCCTTCTTCTCTGTGTGTAACACTCTGCCTGGACCACAGAGTCAGTAATTTCTAAGTCAAACAAAATTTCCACTCTCACTGATTTAGAAGTTAAAACACATTGGATGTGATCCTAGACAATGCTGAGTTTACTTGAGAATGTATCTACTAACACATCCTTTGTTTTGTTTTGTTTTTTCCAAGAACAGCAAAGAAACCCTAATGTGGTCTAAAGATTTTTTTTTTTGTCTTTTTCGTTTTTATCGGTACCAGGGATTGAACTCACCACTGCACACTTGCAAGGAAGGCGCTTATACCGCTGAGCTAAATCCCCAGCCCCTGGTCTAAAGATTTAAGAAAGGCTTCTGGATGAAGTTGTTTCTAAGTAAGACATGATAGAAGATGAGAAAAGTTAGCCAATTGGAGGACAAAATCAATGAAACCTTACACGGTTTTTTCCTTAAAATAACATACCAAGTAGTCTACAATAGTCTCTGGCATGTCTGTTGTTTTCCTGTGAGCATCTGTTCTATTCTCTGTGTCGTTAGTGACTGGTTTGGTACCCTGGATTCAGGAGGTACAGGGTGAATGAATGAATGAATGAATGAAGACTGAATTCTGCCTATATTCTTAGCATTTACCATCTCTCATGCGATTAAAAACTCAGTAACAGAGTTGTCTGTTATAACCATATTGGGTTGTCTGTTATAACCGTATTGACTACAGCAAGATCCTTTACTACATTTTAAATTTGTAATTTCTAATAATACAAACCTATCAAAGGGACACAAATACTCATGTTCCTTGCCTTTATAGAATGAGTAGAAAGTTTCAGTCTGAAAATCCTATAGTAACTTCCTGTAAGAGAGGAAAAATTTGAGTATCAATACCACATTCTTTTTTTGTTTTTTTTTTTTTTTCCAAGATTCTGTGTAGTTTCCTGAATAAAGAGAAAAACATTTAAGAAAAAAAAGTACTCATTGGCAGAGGAAGGTTAAGGATAAGGGCCAGCATGGGCAACTGAGCGAGACTTTCTCTCAATATAAAAAGGACTGAGGATATTACGTGGGCTTTTCTTTTTTCCATTTATCTGAGTGCCTTTTTTTCTTTATAATTTTGAAAATATTTCTGTTTATTTATTAAATTTGTTTACTCATATTTAGGAATTCTAGAAACCTAAATATTATTGTTTGTGACTATAGATGTAAACATTTAAATAAGTCAAATTATTTAAATGTGATAAAAGATTTTGGGTATTTTGTCATAAAATACATAATAACTTCATTTACACTTGGAAAATATGTGATATTAAAGTTGTAATTGGATCAGGTGGATTTTGTGTGTTAACATAGAGACACATGTATTCACTGTGAAAGAAGTTAACAAAATATGGACATATATTCCTTTTAGTACACAGATATATTTAACATAAAATTTAGAGATAAAAATGATGCAGTTGTGGTTAAATATGGAAATGTGAGAGCATGCAACCACATACACTAAAAACATCCATCCACTTGTCTTTGCTTTGTTCAGAAGCTAATGGTGACTTTGAAGTAGGAAATATTAATTCATCGTGTTGTAGCCTGAGGGTTATTAATACATTCTCCTTTTTTTCTTCTAGCACACTGATTTATGTCAGTACATGGACAAGCATCCCGGGGGGCTCCATCCAGATAATGTGAAGGTAGGAAAAGAGGTTTTGAAAGCCAGATTTATCACTTTTCATGTACATTTTTTGAGCCTGCTATCTCTACCATATCTTAAATTTTAAAAATATTTCTGTATAAAGAGAACAGTATCAGAGTGAACCATAGTCTATACTTCAGTTTAGTTGGTGGAAATAGTGTTTCAATATTAGATATGTTTATTGGAAGGTTTTTATTTAGACCTTATCCTATTTTGAGTTCATGGAGAAGAAGCATTTGCCAACAATGAGTGAGTTTCAGGGAACCCTACTTCAACCCTGTGCTCAGGAGAGGGGCACATAATAGCTGTAACTTAGAACCCCGGGGTGCAGTGAAGTGCTGATGTAATCCAAACCAGTGTTAGTGTGGGTTCACCAGGCCTGAGTTTCCTTTTTTCCTATTGCTTTCCCCTGGTGCTGGGGCTAAGCAAGTGCTTACCACTGATTTAAGTCTCCAGCTCCTTAAGATCTTATTTATACAATCTTGTATATACGAGATATTGTATGTACAAGAAGCAGTTTCACTTTCTACTGCTTTTTTTTTCTTTTCGTTCTTTTTTTTTTACTGAAACTTAATGAGTATGGGTCAAAAGAACTATGTTTTTGTAATAGTTAACAACCATTTTGGGAAATTTTTGAGAACTTCAAGGTTAAAACGGGAGATTTCTTAGCATATGTTAGGAAATTTAAAGATATCAAAGGTATATCAGAAGGATTTCTGATGTGCCTGCATTTGTAATTCAGATGACTACATTTCATGATCCTGGAACCAACTGAGTATCATGGATGGGTTGAACTAAAATTACTTACATTTTGTCTTTTTATTTATACCACCCCTTGAAACGTGGTGTATTTTTTGTTTTGTATTTTCCTTTGCTTGTGTAAGTTTGTTCACACATGTGTGTAACTTTCTTTCATAAAAATGTATTTTAAGGGGTCAGGGATTTAGCTCAGCAGCATTAGCATCTGTCTAGCAAGTGCAAGGTTGTGATTTTGATCCCTGGTACCCTCCCCCTAAAAAAGCATTTTATAAGTTCCTTTCTTCACTTAAAATGTATCATTAAGATCCATACCGTACTTGACTATCTCAGTCTTTCTAATAACTGTGTTTTTTTCTAGTATGAATACACTACAATTTTTGACACATATTAAGAAATGTTGGGGATCTTTACAGACTGTTGTTATTATAAATGAATATAGAGTCAATATCAGTATAAAACCACTGTATCTAGTTAATAGATAAGACAGAGATATAGTATCTGTGGTAGTAAGACTGTGTTTTCCTCTACTCTTACTTTGGTAGGACTCAGTCATTTTGATTTTTGCCATTCTGATAAGAATGGAAAGTCTTTTATGTTGTCATTTGACTACTGAGGACATTAAGCACTTCTTCGTGTTTGGTGCTTGTGGATTTTATTTTAGGTGCTCTTTATTATGAAAATATTTTACTTTGCCATCATTTTGAAAGCCAGTTTTGCAAAATAAATCAGTCTTGCTTGTCAGGTTTTGTTTTTTCCAAGGACTTCCCTCCATGTTCTCCTGGCACTTAAAGTTTGTGATGAAAAGTCTGCAGTTTAATGGTTTACCTTTTTAAGTGATCCGTGGTTTTTCTTTCACAGCTTTAAGATCACTCTTTTCTGTTTGACTACTGGATTTTGACAATGATGTGTTGTGGAGAGGTTGTTTTCTGCCCATGGTTAGTCGGCATTCCTTGTGTACCATTTATTTTTGCATCTAAATCTTTTTCCATATTTGGAAAGTTTTGTGCTATTTTTTCAGTAAGCAGGTTTTTTATGCCATTTGTGCTGTCTTCTGATTTTTCAGTAATTCCAATTAGTCACAGTCCTCTTTGCATCATCTAGCAGTTTTTGGAACCATTTTTCATGTTTTTTTTTTTTTTTTTCCACGTATCTCTCGTTAGTTTCCACTAGCAGACCTGTCCTCTGGTTCTGTCTTTGTTCATATTGTATCACATCTGCTGCACACATTTATGATAGGACTTTTAATCTCCTGAGTTTCTGTTTGGTACCTTTTTATGGATTCTAGCTTTTTTCTGTGCTTGTAATTCATGTTTCCTGTTGTTTTGTTTAGCTCAGCTAGGTGTTTACTAGTGTCCATTATCTTTTTAGACACTGCTTCTCTGAGCTGGATGTTCTCCTTATTGATGTTCCTTATCACCTCTGTTCACCATTCACATAAGCCCATTGTACTGCTTTTGATTTCCTCCTCTTTGCAGTCACATGGTTTGAGGAATTCAAAGTTTTTGGCAGCGTTTTGTTGGCTTGTGTTTCTCTGTATCTTTTGTTGTTGTTTCTTTGTCTAAGCTGAGGCTTGTGAGTTGATTAAAATGGAAAGCTTCATTGGTACTGTAGCGATCTGTTTAGCTAATGTCTGGTTTTTCAGTCATGCTTTCCGGGCAACGGTTGGTGTTTGCTTCTTTCCCCGGATCCAGCATCTCCATTTATTTGTGAAGGGAGGTCACAGCATATTGTCCAATATCTAGTTCCTCAGGATGTTAATGACACAAAAGCAGTCAGGATTTTGGCATCCAGGAAGAAGCAGTAACAAAATAACATCAAAGCCAAACTGAATATTGATGTACTGGAAGGACCAATAATATGCCACATTTAACCATAAAAAGAGATTTTTAATCATAGTTTAATTACTCAGGCAAACCAAATATTCACCAATAGTAAATACGTACTAAATGAAACTATTTTATATCCACTAATGATATGATATGAGCATAGAGTTATCTAAAGATTGGTAATTCTTCATAGTCATACCAGCAAAAGTAGAGGGGTAGGGAACCAGAGAATGAAAAAAAGTAAAATTTGAACAATTAAGCAAGGGAAGAGGAGGAGGAAGAGAGAAAAAATGAGATAGGAAATCTGAGTGAAGAATGAAAAGAAATTAATATTTTTGGAAAACAATAACAAAAGAAGTATAAAGAAAAACAGAGCAAAATATAGGAAGTAAGAATAAGGTAAGGAAGAAAAATGTAAATAGGAGAAAAGAAAAATGAGAGGGAAAAATGAAAACTGCAGAAAAAACCTCAAGCTCCCAAATAACTCTGTTGATAGGAGTTGGCCCAGCGCACGGTCTGCTTGGTTGGTTAGTGCTTGCTTCTGTGGCTACACACCACAGAGAAGCAAAATGTAGAGGTGGCTTGGAGTTGGGGGAGCTCGTGGCCAGAGATGCAGGCAGTGCCAGTGCGTCAGCCCATGCCATGCTGTGTTCATTTTATTGAGCAGAATTTAGTGAACAGCGTGGAGCTCTTGAAAATCAAAAGTGTAACAAATTGAACACAATCTAAAATGTACAAAAACTGGCAAGTATAGAAAAACTAATAGTGTAGTCTGGGAGATTTAACATCTGAATAAACTTGAGTAACAGAAGAGAGGACAGAATTTTAAACTGGTAATTATTAACCTGTGCTTTTTCCAGATTGGAAAAAGTTTGAATTTTTGGATTCAGAGAGTTTGTTACTTTATAGAAGAACACAATGGATTAGGCACTAAGGACTGGGAAGGATAAGAACCAGAAGACAGAAAGAAATTCATTAAGTAGCACTAAAAACACTTGGACAAGAACAAACCCTACAAGTTCTTCTGCAACAAGTGGAGTAACTGCTGGGTAAAGAATCCCATGATATATTTCAAAATGTGTACAAAGGACAGTACAGGATTCCCAACATATAAAATGTTAATGGTTGAAGACATGGAAATGTCGATTACCTTTATTTTGATTAATATTCATTAAATGTGTCTCTTACATTACCATAAAGATATAAATTTTATTTTTGAGGAGTTGTCGATCAAACTCAGGGCCTTGCACATGCTAGGCCTGTTCTATACCACTGAGCTATATCCTCAACTTTACACATTGTGTAAAAAATGAAAAGTTAACAAAATAAAAACAGAGTCAATTAAATGCCTGAAACAGTTAGTGCCAGCAGTCTGACAGGGGGTTCATTGTTTCAGGATTTCAGAAAAATGTGTTCAAATAATAATTTTGCAAAAAAGAAAAATGTTTATAACTCCCCAGGATCGAGAACTGCAGTGGTATGAGCCTTTGGAGCAGTGATACTAGGAAGGAATTAGTGTGGGATAGTAGCTTAAAAGTTTGGACATAAAATTATTCCCAGGGTAGAATTCTATATAGACTATGCAGTGCCAGGATAAGTAATCATCTCCAGGTTTGCAAGAAGTTGACAATTTTGCCCGCATGCATTCTTTATCTTGATGCTACTTGAAGTTAGGTCAGACATAAGAAAATAAGCCAAAAAAAGATGACCAAGGGATCAGTTAACAGAGTTTTACAACAGGAGTGGTAGGGAATCCCACAGGACAGTGATGAAGGGTGCCACACATCAGGCTGGGAAACTAACTCCCCTGATTTACAAATGAAGTAGGAGTTTCCTATTAAGTTAGTGAATAATCCTAAGCCACACACACACACACACACACACACACACACACACACACACACACACATAGTCTACTAAATAGAGTAAAAAAGAAATAAAATACCTTAACCATTACTAGCACAAGGAAAAACACAATTTTATGCAAGGAAGAAATTTTCATAATAAACTTCATGATTCATCATAAATAGCAATTAAATAGTAAAAATAAATTTAAACATTGAATATTGACATATTCAAAACAAGCCAAACATCTTTAAAGTGATCTTGTGGTAGCCAGAGCCGTTTCAGGACCAGCACCCTGGAGTCCCGGTCCATTCTGACTTGTCATTTCATAGAACATACATGTGAGGAATTTTGAGATTAAGGAAATCTTTAAGAGCTTTTTGACTCTTTCCAGTGGTCCTTTCCTTACACCACATGACTGATGCTTTAAATTACTATGATTAACTGGATAACTTGTGACTTACAGGCCCTAGGTTGCATGGGTTTATCGTGATTTTCATGTTGAAGATGACAGTGATACTTTGTCTGTGAGTATGGAAAATCAAAAATAGGTGCAGTGTATTAATGC